GGCAGGTCCAGCCTCTGCCCCACCAGCACCCCCAGGGCCTTCTCCTCTTACAGTAGCATCAGTAGGAAACACCCAGGTTCCCAATCAGCCCAGGGATGGGCAGACAGGGTTGACAGCACTTGGACATGGTAAATTCAGTGTTCAGCCCTTGGCAGCAGCCCTGGGACTGTGCAGCCACGTGGCCACACAGATCAATGCAAATCCACTCCTCTCGTTAGAATTTGTCCAAAACATTCTCCAAGGGTAACAAGTCCTGACAGAAGTTACTTAATCTGACAGCTATTAGATCTAATGTATCACCTTTCTTCCTACATAAAAACATAAAGCCAGAATAAACTGCACACTGGGTGCCCTAATTAGCCCAGATGTTATTACGTGCCTGGGCCTGACCCAGCTCACATTTGTTTTGCTGGCTAATCTAATGTGCTCAGAGGTGGCATTAATGACCACACAATGGCATCAGCACACACAGATCCAACCAAACTCTGCTAATACTCAGTAACACAATCCCCCCAGCCATGATATCACTAGGCTGGGCTGCAATCCTCGGCCCAGGACTACCTAAGCTCACCTTAATTCAAAGCTTTATTAATTGGCCGCAGTACCTTAACTTCTATACACACAACACACCACATCTCCACTGCTGGAGAAACCAGATTCCACACTGGTGAAGGTACATCTGGAAAGAATGGTCAAAAGCTGGTCAAAAACATTCAGAAACACTTTAGGGAGCTGTAGGATTGTCTAAAGGGGTGAGAAAAATCCATGAGGCATATAGACAATGGCATAAATTAGATTGGAAATCAACGGAAGCAGTTTCTCTGCAAATACTTCACAGGGATGATAACTAATATAAAGTAATGATTTGATTTTTGTTCATTATAGAAATGTAATTGTTAACTGCTACCAAAAAAATAGTGCACCAAGTGAAAGCAAAATGCAAAGAGTCCTTAAACTGCCCTTATGGGGAAACTATGAAAAATCAACACAAAATCACAGTTTGGCCTCTTTCCACATCTACACACACATCCCAAACTTGTGAAATGCTGTTCTCAAGTCACTTGAAATGGGAAAACTAATATTCCTTTTCTTTCATAAAGCTGATTTTTGAATGACAGAAGTAATAGGTGAAAATATGTTGGTTTGAAATTAAAGGTTGTCAGAGAGACAATACAAGAATGTCATGGGATCAGCGAGGCTGGAAAAGACCTCCAAGAGTCCCCTCTGTGCCCGATGCCCACCTTGTCCCCCAGCCCAGAGCACTGAGTGCCACAGCCAGGCCTTCCTGGGACACCTCCAGGGATGGGCACTCCAAACCTCCCTGGGCACCCTTCCAGATAATTTCAAACCAGCAGTAACAGCACAGAAATAATTTCTGTAGGAAAGATGTATTTGCAGAAATCAAGATGCTGAAGTACCTTCAAGTCAGTAATTCACATTTTTCCTGAAACAGGAAGGAAAAGTAGGAAAAGAACATGGAAACACAGCTCTTAAGGAATGCCATTCTTGATACACCTGAGTTCAGCCACAGCAACTTCCCAGATCAGAACATTTTTTACTAAAGAATTTTTGCTCCTTAGGCAAAATGCCCTAAGGCAGCCAGGTTGGAATGGGCACAGAATTCAAGCAGCACATGGAGAGAGGATCCTTCCTTCTTCCTCAGGCTCATTACTTCAGTTCCAGCCCTGCAGTCACTGAACATTTTATTAAGTAATGGCTGTTCAGAGGCATCACACACAGTCCTTGGGAGATGTATTAGCACACTGAGCCCCCCTCAGGAGAGAGGCTACAGATTCTGTGCCTCTAGAGACATTTTCTTCAGTCCCTGTCAATTGTCCCTGAAAACCAAGTTATAATGTTTGCTACAGCACGGAAATTTGCAGTGACATTGTCAATGTGCCTTGGCAATCAGGTCCATTCTTCCAGCATTACATACAATTAAACTGAAAATAAATTGGTCCAACAGTATCAGGGGAAAAAAAAAATCCCCAGCTTTGTTCCCTGCATATTTGTGTCCCATTTGCCATTAATCCCTCCCTGCAGGGGGTTATTGATGGGGATTTGTGGAGCAATCCCACATCCTCTGCCTCCCCAGGAAGCCAGGCTGACAAAAGATTGCTGCCAAGAGAGCAGGGAGATGAAAAGATACAAAAATAATACCCAACCCACCTCCAGCCACGAAAGCCCATTCCCAAAATCCCCTGGGTTAGCAGGAATACCAAACATCCCCAATGACCAGGGAGATTTGTGTGTGGAGAGCAGGTAACAAGGGGAGACTTCCCACTGCTCATCGGAGCACTTGTACCATAGTAGGGGCAGGGGAGAGAAGCAAAAAAACACCCAAATAAAACCAAAGCACAACAGCATTTACTAATTTTCCTAGGATAGGTAAGAACAAAACCAAAATATTCCTAACTGTGGAGGTTTTTTTGTTAGGATTGCACCGGTTCAAATCCTTCCTCACATCAGGGTGATTCACTCGGTCTGCTTGTTTCCTCTCCCCCAACCTCTGCATCCTGTTCCAAATTCTGATTTAATCAGTCATATCTAGCAATTTTCGATTTGGCCAAGAGTCTCCTTTTCCATTAAAAACCCTTCCTACAGATTCAAAGCCCCTGAGCATTTCAGGATGCTCATCTGGGGGGGAAAGAGTACGGGCAGTTCCACATAAAGGCCACCAAAAACTTGGAATGCACTGGCAATGACAAACTCTGAGCTATGAGTAAGTCTCATTGAGCCTTTAAATCAAGTTAAAACCAGGTCTCAAACCCCAAATCAATGGGTGAAAATAACTTTCTGTCTATAAGAAACATATAGAAAAATTCAGTTTTGCTGTTAATATGATCTCAAGCACTATCACCCAATTCAGTTAAGCAAAGGGAAAAATCAGAAAATAACTCATTTGTACCTTAAGAAATGCCAGGTTCTCCCTTTGAAGGATTCCTCACATGAGCACAACCATAATCTAACATACTATTGCACCTAAATTACTTGATATAAAGAGACATTAATCCCATGGTGGGAAACTGTCACCTCCCAACATCTCTGCTCATCTCTCAAGAGGGTCACACAATAACTGTGGGTCTGACTGCGAAAACAAGCAACAGTTATTTTGGAAAAGAACTTCTGTTCCATGAGATTTGCTGGTCTCTGACTTTCTGTGAACTGGAAATGAGTGAACTCAATATGCCACGAAACAACGCCCAGCACAGTGGAACTGAATCTGTATTTCTCAAGAGCAGGGTTTGCTGTTAGTTCTGCTGCCAGAACTCCACGAGAAGTGCACTGGAAGGTATGAAATGTCACACAGCGGTGTTAACTCGGCTATTGTTTGGAGATCTTCATTCCAAAACCTTAGAAGAGACATTCCAAAAACCACCAACCAACCTTTGAAAGCGCCAGTGCAGCGTAAGAACTGAAACAAGCTGATTAGATTTCATACTTTTAGGTCATCTAGAGACACGTTTGTATGGATTAGAGCAAAATGAGGTGGACTGTCTCTCTGCATCTCTTGGCAATCCCAACATAAAGCTTGTTTGGTCACTGGGAGTGTTGTCTAACACATCCCACAAATGTCTCTCACCACAGCTTCACTGGCACTGTCAGTAACAACATAAACACATCCAGCCCTTTGATCCTGGCATGGATCTCTGTGAGTTTTACTTTCATGGTCTAGAACACAGCCCCCATCCAACTCTCCTAACAAAGCTCCCAACATATCAAAAAACTGAGATTAAAACATTTTCTTGCCACAGCAAACTGCTTTAGCTGATTTTCTTCATTACCTTTTATATCCCAGAATGGTTTGGGTTGGGAGGAACCTTAAAGCCCATCTCATCCCACCCCCTGCCATGGGCAGGGACACCTTCCACCAGCCCAGGTTGCTCCAAGCCCCGTCCAACCTGGCCTGGGTCACTTCCAGGGATGGGGAGTCCACAATGTACCCCAACCATTTATACAGATTAATTTTCTACTGAGTAGGGAGGATGAAAGGCTACGAGAGACAAGCTCTGGTGGCCAAACCATTTCAGCTGAAGGCAACAGGGGTCATTTTGCCAAAACTAAGGATCACACAAGTGACACACACATCAGGAAGTGGACAGAGACTTGCTAAGAACCAACACATCCCACTGAAAGAGCACAACCACCTTCCTGGTCCTCCCTTGGACACTCAGGATTGCAAGGAAAACTCCCACAGGAGGAAGCAATCAGCCTGCTTTCAACAACCACTCCAGTACCAGAGTTTTTCAGAACACAGGTGCTTTAACAACTGTTTTTTTGGTTTTTTGTTTGTTTGTTTTTTTACCATTCTGTTATCCATCTGACCTTGAGCAGCTCCAACAACGAGCAGTTCCCCCGAGGATAACGGCAGAGAGGTTCCACCAGCGTGACATGACTTTGTCAACCATTTCAAGCACCCACATATGATAAACCACCGCCACACACAGCACAAAACCACACTCAGATTACAAGGTTCAAACCAAATAAAATATGAAAATAAAAAGCAGGAAAGAGTAGTCACAATATGAGGAGTAACAGCTGATTCCAGTAGGGCAAAGCACTTCATCCCCTCGCAGTATTCTGCACAAATGCAATGCTGAGACCACAGATCAACAATGTGAGAACTGTATGATTGGAGAGGACAATTAAAACAATTGAAAACAGAAGGTCATTCATTTTCTTTTGAAATTTCCACGACTACAAGCAAGCAAGTTCTGCCATTTCCGAGGTGTCCACAAAGTCACCTTATTAAACTCAGAGCAAACCAACAAGCAGCAAAACACTGCACTGGTAACACTCCCATCAAGCTGCAGAGTAAGGTTTCAGCTTTACCCAACCACACCAAAACCAAAGACTGACCAGAACTCTGTCCTCTGGTAATATCACACTGACATAAGAAGTTAGATGGTAAGAATTAAGTTGGTGTATATAAATAATTGTGTTATAAATAATTGTGGGGGCACTCACCGTTCCGACTCTCCTCGTCAATGGGAACTATTGTGGCTGGAGGACCTGTTCTGGCCAACTTGCAATCTATAAAGATGAAAAGTAAAGTTATTTCTCATTCCAAAAGTAGGATCTTGGGGGGTTTTGTTGCTGGGATTTTTTTAAGTCAGTGTATTGGGCGTGCTAAAGTATTCACTTAAGTATGATGTAAGTATGAGCTACAACTGGCAGCTAAGTTACACTCAGAGAGGATCGAAATCTGAGCTGTTTGCTTATCCCTCGCTCACAGGAACTTTACAGAGCATGGGGGAAATGTGATGACAAAGGATTTAACATCTCGGATACGATCCTTATTTAAAACAAACACCTAAACAGCAAAATCTTTATATTATTTGTTCTGTTGTCTGTTATGTCACTCTTTCCGTGTCATGAACACACTCCCCAAATCCCAGAATTATGGAATGGTTTGGGTTGGAAGGGACCTTAGAGATCATCCAGTTCCAACCCCCTGCCATGGGCAGGGACACCTCCCACTAGCCCAGGTTGCTCCAAACTGACCTTGTACACTTCCAGGGATGGGGCAGCCACAAATTCTCTGGGAAACCTGTGCCAGGGCCTCCCCACCCCCTTAGCAAAGAACTGTTGTCACAGGCCATCAGGACACAGTTGGATGGCTACACTAATGAATCTGTTCATGTCTTGCTCTAGAGATCCCACCAGGATCTCTATCCCATCCCAACAGTGAAGCACAACTCCGTCGAGACAGAGGTAATACAATGGTAATTTAACCCAAAGAAATAATAAAAGAATGATTAGAAGGTATAAATCACAATTAAAGTTACACAACAGAAACAAACATAATTTGAATTTAATTGCAACAAAAGGATCTACTCAGTGAACAGAATTTTAACAATGTTCTAAGGAAAATACAAATCAAAAGCAGACGAGCAATGTTCAGGAAGTCACATTTTGCCATCTTACCCTCATATTGCCAGTCTGGAGTCAAAAGTTTAGAGTCATCAATGGAAGCAGAGCAGAATAACGAAAGAAAATAAGTAAGTGTTTGTTGGTGCACTCAAAAGATAGGTTCAAAGACAAAGCAGTACATGCAGAGCTAGCAAATGCACAGGTGTAGCCTTAAAATACATAAAAGCACATATAGCACATGTGATGACTGTATTTTGGCAACAATTGGGTTTTCTACTTTAAATGGAAGAAGAACAGTGCCCCCTCTAAAGCCCACAGAAATAAAAGTTAATTAAGAAGCACTTTTTATTTTCAAAGAGCCTCAAAGCATCACTGACCCAGTGGGGTAAGAGTCAACCATTCTCCTTCCCCTTTCACCACACAGGACTGCCTGGGAGACTGCAGTCCATCTTTAAACAGACATTTTAAGGCTCCTCTGATCCATGGATGGCTGCACCCCATTTGTATGGAATGGCACCTTCTAATTGAGTTCTGGCCAAGGGAAGAAATACTCAAGTATCACTGTTCTGGGTTTTTTTTTGAGGTCTAAACACTTTACACACAAATCCCAATAGAAAACCATCTGTGAATTAAACCCAAGAGCAAGTTGAGGTAAATGCTATTTCCCAGTTTGTGGTGAAAATTACACATTCATTGACTTCAAAGGAATCGCTGCAGTTCGTTCCAGACTATTATTACCCCAGCACAGACAAGACCTACAAAGGGAGATCAAAACAGTGAAGCTTTTGTTCAGATCTCCATTTGGGTAAGATCCCCAAAGGACACCTCTGCAGCACAGGGATTTCCTCCAGCAACAGTTTTGTGTTGCTCTCCTGAGCTTGACTGCAAGACCAAACCTCTGAACAGCACGGGGATGGTCTGACAGCACAGCATTCCTTGAGGTTGCTGACAGGGATGAACAGCCTGAACAACACCCAGTTATAGAGCACACGGCACAGGAGTGTGTCCAGACAGCTCTGGAATAGCCCAGGGAGGACACTCCACCCCCTCTCTGCTCTCTCTTCAGGGCTGGGGCACTGCCCAGCCAACAAGTTCTTCCTCCTGTCCAGCTGGAACTTCCTGGGCATCAGTTCCTGCCCGTTCCTCCTGTGCCATTGCTGGGCCCCCCCGAGCAGAGCCTGCTCCATCCTCTGCCCCCTCCCTGCAGCCCCTCCAGACATGGCTGAGGGCCCCTCTCAGGCTCTGCTCTGGAGGCTGAACAGCCCCAGCTCCCTCAGCCTTTGCTGCTCCCAGAGCTGCTCCATCCCTTGGGCATCTCCGCAGCCTGCGCTGGCCCCGCTCCAGGAGCTCCCTGGCCCTGCTGTGCTGAGGAGCCCGAGCTGGGCCCAGCCCTGCAGATGTGCCTGCCCAGGGCTGGGCAGAGGGGCAGGATCCCCTCCCTCCACACAGACACTGAGAAATACAGAGAGCTGGGGCGGGTGCCCATCATTCCCCTTCCTCACCCCAGGGACTCTGCTTGTACAGATTCATCACCCCACTTGGACTGCAATCCCAGAATCACTGAGGTTGGAAAAGACCTCCAAAGATCACCAAGTCCAACCTTTGACCCAAAATCACCATGCCCACTAAACCCTAGGCAGTCTAAATAAAATTACTGATGAATGAACTCTTCCTACATACAACTTTTATTCTTATATGCTCTAGGTTGATACATAACAATTGATTATATCTTTTTTTTTTTAAATTAAATTAACTATTATTTTACTTTAAAGCTTTTTGTTTTGAAGGCATTAACAGAACAAATAAATCATCTGGAAAACTGCATCTTTTCATATCATTGTAGCTTCCTATGAGCACATCAGGTGGGAAGATAAGCCATGTTTGCATTATCTACATGAAATAAGGACTAATTTTTCCCCTCTTATTCTTTTCACTGGATGCTATGAAAATTCCAGAACCGTAACATAAATAACTCCTAACTTTTCTTTCCAGAGATGTGTTTTATAATTTTCTAGAGGCTGAGGATTTGGATCAACGACCCCTTAACAAACTCTTTGTCAGGTCAAAGAAGCTCAGCTTTGCTATTCCCCATTCAACAGTGACACCACACACACAAACAAATAAAAATTCAAATAAAAATCCAAAAGCAGGGACAATTTTTAATTCTTAAAATTTCCTATGCCGTACCAAAAGAAGAATCATTATATTTTTAAAAAAACTCAATGAGCTTTTCCCCCTATCATCTGTGTTCCATGATATTTTCTCCCTGCTGGGTGTCCCAGTGAAAAGTTCACCCAAATCAGACCAAATTCTAGTTCTATTTTCACAGTAAGAAAATTATCAACATTACAAGTCAGATCACATGTTAGCAGCCTTTTCCCAAAGCTAGTTTTCCATCAGACACATTGGAATGTCCAGAATTATAATCAAAGCATTTAAAATGAATGCTCATTCCAATCTGGATCTGGAGAGTCTCAGAGAAAAGGCAGAGTGAAATTCAACAACTTGCAGAGGATTTACTGCAAGTGTGAGCAGGTGAAGCAATAAAATCTACCATGAGATAAATTTCAATGAAAAGAAAAAAATTAGAGCAACAGGCAGAACTATTTCTACAGCCAGAGGAGAAAAAAATACACAGAACAAACAGGATGGGAAGTAGGAAACTTGCTGTGGGTTACACTCATGGCACCAATAACAGATTCATGAACAAACACGTAGTTTTAGTGCACAGATAAGAGTTTACAGATTATTTCACATAATTTCCACCATGTCAGTACTGGTCAAATCTCAGATTGCTTTTTAAGGTGTCTGGCACCCCCTCGATCCCTTTCTCAAAGGGCAAACTTAATAATGCCACAGCCTTAGTGTCACATTCATCACCAAACAGATAAATTTAAAACTGTAGTCCTACACAAATTTCCAATTCAAAGGGAGACAATAATTTTAATTAAACTTAAAGACAAGTTACATGGTGTAAATACATGGTGGTACCTTTTTTTTTTTCCCCTCATAAAATACAATCAGTAAGCAGCAATAGCACCTCAGTAAGACATAAACTCAAGCACCAGGTCTGGTCACACCTGGTGGGAATTACTTGAGACAGGAAAAAGGGTCACCTTCCACTAGCCCAGGTTGCTCCAAGCCCCGTCCAACCTGCCCTTGGACACTTGCAGGGATCCAGGGGCAGTCACAGCTTCTCTGGGCAACCTGTGCCAGGGCCTCCCCACCCTCACAGGGAACAATTCCTTCCCAATATCCAATCTAACCCTGCCCTCTGGCAGTGGGAAGCCATTCCCTCTGTCCTGTCCCTCCATCCCTTGTCCCCAGTCCCTTTCCAGCTCTCCTGGAGCCCCTTTAGGCCCTGGAAGAGGCTCTCAGGTCTCCCTGGAGCCTTCTCTTCTCCAGGTGAACCCCCCCAGCTCTCCCAGCCTGGCTCCAGAGCAGAGGGGCTCCAGCCCTTGGAGCATCTCTGTGGCCTCCTCTGGGCCAACAGATCTCAAGTTCTCTGAAGTTTTTTCTCACTTTTTTTTTTCTAATTGTTCCTCAACAAAAAATTATTTCAGCAGTAAGACTGATTTATTAAACATAAATGAGCACAGATAACTGTGGTCCCAAGTTCACGTAATCCCAGAATGTGCCGAGTTGGAAGGGACCCAACAAGGATCATCCAAGTCCAACCCTCAGCCCTGCACAGGGCCATCCCCAACAGTCACACCCTGTGCCCCAGAGGATCATCCAAACCCTCCTGGAGCTCTGGCAGCCTTGGGGCTGTGCCCACTGCCCTGGGGAGCCTGGTCAGTGCCAACCACCCTCTGGGGGAAGAACCTTTTCCTGAGATCCAACCTGACCCTGCCCTGGTACAGCTCCAGCCATTCCCTGGTTGCTGTCCCTGGTCACAGAGCAGAGATTGGAGCTGCCCCTCCTCTGCCCCTGCCCAGGCAGTTGGAATTGCAGTGAGGTCTCCCCTCAGTCTCCTCTTCTCCAGTTGAACAAACCAAGTGCCCTCAGTGTCCTCAGACAGCTTCCAAACAAGGCCCTTCCCCATCCTCGCTGCCTCCTTGGGACACTCTCTAATGGCTTCAGATCTTCCCTATATTGTGATGACCAAAACTGCCAGAATATTTGACATAATAATTGATTTCTGAAGGAGATGTTAACACAAGACTTTAAAACCAGAGAACAGAAAAGTGCCCCACGTCTGGGAGCCTCAGTACAACTCTTCTTGCCATTGTTTTACCTCAAGTTGTCCTTGAAATTCCTGAGCATAATGGAGCAGTCTTTGCAGTCAAATCATGATATATCAAACACACTCAAAAAAAGAAAAGGCACTACATAAATGAGCTCCCCTGCCTACAGTTTTCATGGCATGTTTTATGTTTAAGCAGCAATGCTGGTAAATGGAATCCTGAGGTAGCAGTGCCCTCACCCCTGCCCTAAGGACCTTACAGGAAAGGCAAACAAAACTTACTAAATAAAACAACAAGCTCTGAAGGCTTTCCTAAAAGCTTGCAGAAAAGCATTTATGTTCCTCTCATTAACTTCACTGTGCTTTTGCTTCACATTTCTACAACCAAGGCAGAGGCAGGTAAATAAAGGGCCTGCCTCCTTGGGAGCAAAGTGAAAACCTCTTTAGCACGCTCTCCATGTAACAGTGTCGAGGCTCAGATCTATTTGGTTTCTGATGGCTAATTTTCATTATTTTAATTTCTAATTATTTTTAATGAGGTGGCTCAGAGGAAACCCTCAATCACTGTCCTAGGGAAGACACTCAGCAAGGTCAAACAGCCTGAGCAGAAACAAACACAACAACTTGAATCATCACGTGTTCTGCCAACAGAGCTGCCTGAGCATCTTCCTTTCCTCTTGCCCTCCTGAAGCCCCCTCCCATCCCACAGTTCCCCTCCCTTGAGGACTTCTCTCTTCACAGCTAAAGCAAACAGAATCACCTATAAAAATGAAAATATTATTGAAGTAGCTGATAACAAAATTCCATTGTGGAGAATCCCACAGAGCTTCAAAGACACTTGATGGTCTGTAGTGGAAGGTGCCCCTGCCCATGGCAGGGGGTT